AACAACAACAACAACAACAACAACAACAACAACAACAACAACAACAACAACAACAATAATAATAATAATAATAATAATAATAATAATAATAACATTAGTCCGAACTAAAATAACTGTTAATGCTAATGCTAATTTCACAATTTTTAATCACAGTTGAAAATTAGCGCAGTAGTAGCCAAGAAATCTTTTACAAAAACTGATTTCAAATACAAAATCCAAGATGGCTGCCAAAGCTAATTTCAAATGGCTATAACGCAGTCATTTTTAGAAATACTGAGCTGAAATTTGGTGTGACGGTAGCCAAGAGTAGTCCCCGTGACACTCTGAAAGCTACTGCAGATAACAAAAAAATCTTGAAATGCTACATGCAGACCCCACCCCACTTGTCAGTCATTTGAGGGTGGCACTTGGGGTGGCCAATCAGGTGCCCCCTTTGGCTACACCCCTGGTTTGTAACTGGGTCTGAGACAAAACAAAACAAAACAAACAAACAAACAACAAAAAAAAAAAAACAGGACAAATTCAGGATGGTGTTCAAAACATTTTAAGACTTATACATCTTACTGTAAAACATTGGACGAGATTTATTTACAGTTTATTTCTGTTCCAAATGTAGCAAATTATAATCTGAATAAGTATTCAGCCAATAAATGTTTGTGCCAAAAACAAAAATGATAAATTGTTATAAATTGTTGTCTGTCCTGATTTCGAAAAGCCTTCATTAGTTTTTAAAAAAAGCCCTAATCAGCTGTCTGGGTATTAACCATTAAAATAAAGTACCGGTGTTTTTATTATACTTATGAAGTCCAGGCTCATGAAAAGAACCAAAATGAATTAAACAAGCATGTGTACAAAGCTACCATGCAAGCTTATGCATGCAGAGTGTAAGTCTCCTCACTCCTCCACCCAAAGAAAGCAGTGATTTCACTACATTAGGTTCAGTGTTTCAGCCATCGGTTAACTGCGTGACGCTAATGTGAAGACTGAGAACATGCAGGACCAGATATCTGGATGCAGGAGTTCTACGCTTAAGAAATATGGAGAAGTCAGCAGGTTCTTTAACTCTTTACCTGCGGCCTAAGGAGGCTCTCCCTCGCCTTATTTGTGGGGAGAGTGACGGTACTGAGACAGCAGGCTGCTGACAATCTACAAAAAACTGATAAATTAGACAAATATACAGAGTGATGACACTCGGGGTTAGACAGAGAAAACAGGGTGGACAAGACAAGGAGGAGGATTAAGTTACTTTCATACAGGAGGCCTGCACTGATCCTGGTCTTTGTTTTACATCAATGTTGCAAATATGAAACAAATCCTGTTAACCTGTTTTATTTGACCACTGTGACTTWCTGCAGCTCTACACATGGACACTATAATAGAAACACCTTATTCAATACTGGACTGAGATCGTAACACAAAAGAGGGAGGAGCAAAACAAATCCTTCATAATTTAATCCTCTAGAGCAGAGATTCTGAACACATGGGCTGCAAGCGCCATCTTGAGGGCCTCAAAAGAACAACAGTTTTTAATTTTGGGCCGCAGAGGGCCGTGGGAGAGCATTGATTTTGAATAAGATGCAATACACTTTCTCACCACTACAAGCAGTAGTGCACCACTCAGTTGTCTAACAACTTTTTAATATGTAGAAGAAGAACCTTAGCTACCCACAGGGATTGGGAACCTATTTTATATGAAAAGTAGAAGCAAAAATGAAAGTAACTCATCAAAAAACACCAACGTTTGTCACTAATATGAAGTGCAGCTTC